CAGCATTGTTTTCATCTTCTCTCATATATAAAGAACTCCTGGTGCCATCTGTTGATCGGCATTAATGCATAACACCATGGAAACTGGAAGCACAAGGCATTGTAGGAAATCCTGTAGAGACTCTGCTTCTGAGGAAAGACCATCCCTTGGGGAACAGGGGGTCTTGCAGAAGACATCAACTTGTCTAGGCTATGTAGATGCAGTCTCGACGGGCAAAAAATTAGACACAGTTGACAGATGTACTGTATCGTTTATGGGGTATTCTTCTTATATAATATTGTAAGTCCACAATTTACTCAATGATTAAACATGCATCAATATATATGGTGTATTTTTCATATACAATACTTTTTAGTCCAATGATTATACATGTATCACTCTCGATCAGTCTCTTACTATATTTTGCAGGCATCTTGTCTTTGTTGTCTTAACAAATAAAGTCTAATTTTGGCATCTGGAACTCCTTGACTTTTTTCTCAACAGTCATGTTTTCTTTCCAGAATTTTTTTTTTTTTATAAATAAACAAAATAAAATAAATAAAAAATGTATACCAGTTACAATAGACCTAGTGATGAAAAATGTTTTGTGTGCATGAATCTGATTCACTCCAGATATCAATTATTATGAAATAAACATACAATATAGATTCAGATAATAAATGACCTAGTTCTGGCCTCCTGTACCAATTATGGCCAACCATTAACTCAAGCAAGATGACAGGCTTCAATAAAGAACAGACAGCTGGAATACTTTATCTCCGCCATCTGTGTTGCATCAAACCTGAAATGCAGAGATTCCTTGGGGAAAAAATTCAGATTTGAAGAATCCTTTAGATTAGCCCTTTAGATTACTCCTTACTATTATAGTGTAAAACTAGAGCTGTGTTTCTTAGTCCACAATTTACTCAATGATTAAACATGCATCAATATATATGGTGTATTTTTCATATACAATACTTTTTAGTCCAATGATTATACATGTATCACTCTCGATCAGTCTCTTACTATATTTTGCAGGCATCTTGTCTTTGTTGTCTTAACAAATAAAGTCTAATTTTGGCATCTGGAACTCCTTGACTTTTTTCTCAACAGTCATGTTTTCTTTCCAGAATTTTTTTTTTTTATAAATAAACAAAATAAAATAAATAAAAAATGTATACCAGTTACAATAGACCTAGTGATGAAAAATGTTTTGTGTGCATGAATCTGATTCACTCCAGATATCAATTATTATGAAATAAACATACAATATAGATTCAGATAATAAATGACCTAGTTCTGGCCTCCTGTACCAATTATGGCCAACCATTAACTCAAGCAAGATGACAGGCTTCAATAAACAACAGACAGCTGGAATACTTTATCTCCGCCATCTGTGTTGCATCAAACCTGAAATGCAGAGATTCCTTGGGAAAAAATTCAGATTTGAAGAATCCTTTAGATTAGCCCTTTAGATTAGTCCTTACTATTATAGCGTAAAACTAGAGCTGTGTTTCTTAAATGGATAGTTTTTTTTTTTTGCTATTATATGAACAAAACAGATGAAATATTCTTCAGAATATCTTCTTTTGTGTTCCACAGAAGAAATTAAGTCATACAAGTTTGGAACGACACATGGTTGAGTAAATGATGACAGGACATGTATTTTCCGAGTGAACTATCCCTTTAAATTTGAAGAGGTTTGTAAATCATTTGTACTCCTCTATTATTGTCAAAGTGTCTGCTCTGTAGTAAATGGTTGTGTGTGATAGTTTAAGTAAATGGATAACTGATGTACCTTATTTATGTGTGTGATGTGATGAATTAAAGCAACTTTGTCCTTCCAAGCAATATTTACTTTTGCTTATCTGGGTCAGATACTTAAGACCTCATTCTGTGATTAGAGAGAAATTTTCATAAGGGTTTCTATAATTAGAGGAAGCGATGCAGAAGTTATTGGCCATGTATGTTTGCCCTTAACCATTTATTATAAAAGATAATACAATATCTTTGATACTAGCACGCATATTGACAGCAAAGCTCTTGACCTTTGCAAGGACAAGGAGGTAATGGAACATACTGAGTAAAGGCAGGGAATGTTCCTTCCATCAGCTCTTACAATCACTGAAGATGTGACATTTTATACACTTATTCTTATTTTTAAAAGATGTCAAATTCTGTTTTTAAATAGCTGGAATCTTTCTGAAGGATCGTGAGAATCAGGTATTTCCAGCAGATCTCTTACATATCTAGTTGGATTGGAAGTGCATAAACCTATTAGCAATTCATGATATAATTCTTCAGAAAACATTTTGTACCCTTAAGAATTATCCTTACAATGAAAGTCAAAACTGCTTTGGACCTCATTGCCTTTCATTGCACGGACATAAAACAGTTAAAACATTTTTCAGTATCATATATTGTGTTCCACAGAAGAAAGAAAGTCATAAATGTTTGTAAATACATGAGTTTGACTAAATGATGACAGAAGTTTCATTTTGGTGTGATCTGTCCCTTTATGAGAGAATACTTGTTAGATTGTAATGTATTCAACTGTAACTTTCCAAAAGTCAAAAATAAGGCTACACTCTCAGAATTTTTTTTTTATAAAAGCTGTCACTGGGGCAGTACCCTTTCAGAAGGTAAACCTTTGTACCTTATTTACCCCTATTAGGTGCATATTAGTACCTCAAAGTTACATAGTACCTAAAGAGTACATACCGCTTTCCACTCCAGCGACAGCTATTGTACCTTTATTTCTGAGAGTGTAACATATTTTAAAGCATATGTTTAAGAAAAAATTAAAGCTCAAAGCACAAAACAACAGCAGTATTATAAAATTAATGTGACAATGCACTTTCACAATTTTCTGGATTCCTCTATACCCACATTTTAGCAGAGTATAGCGAGTTCTTTTAAAGCGATGGATGCGCAACATTTCTTTGTTTTTATGTTATTTTTTTTATACAAAACATGGTTTATCCAATGCACACACACAGACACACTATAATATACTTTTGTGCATTTTTAATAAGAATGACTATTACATTTCATACTCCAATCAGTTTGACTGTAGATGAACATAAACCTCCCCTTTTTTCTCTAGCTACACCAACTTCCCGATAAGCGAGAACCCTTCAGTGTAAACATTGAAACAGTATTATCATTCCCGTCTGCAATGTTTGAACTACCTATCAGCACTGTTGTGAGTCCTAACAGGGGGTGAAGGAAGGGGCTGGTTGCAACTCAGTAACTTTGTGAAGGAAAACATGAGCAGTAAGCCTCAAAGTATTACATTCCTCTACACAGAAATGTGGAAGGATACCAGTGTTCAGAAGAGTATAAATGTGTTTTTAGATCACTTCTAAGATGAAACACAAAGACCTGTTAGAGCGTGTTGCATCATCTGCTTTGTTCTGCCACTAATGTATTCCTCTGCATTTTTCTTTTCTTCTCAATATTGATTTTTGCACTAACAGTAGTTTATTGAACAAACACAAATCCGGCAGAGCAGATATAACATCAGATATAATGTCATGAGGTTAGTCACCATTCCATACAAGCCTCAGAGTAAATAAACTTAATGCATAACATATCTGCATTACCAGTTAGACTAAAAGACTGCCTTAAACGGAATGGAATATCCAAACAAACACAGCCCTTCATACTTACATTTACATTTACATTTAGTCATTTAGCAGACGCTTTTATCCAAAGCGACTTACAATTGGGGGATACATAAAGCGATTCTTCTTAAAGAGGCAAACAGACACAGGAAGTGGTTGTAATACCAAGTTCTTAGACATTGTTCAAATAAGTACAAGCTAGAAAGAGAAGGAATAAATAAAGAGAGAGATTGTTTTGTTTTTTTTGTTTGTTTTTTTTATGATGAAGTCGAGTAGCTTCGAAAGAGATGGGTTTTACAAGAGGTTAAAGTAGAGCATAAAGTGTCAGTTGCTGCATTCACATCCAGAGATGAGAAATGGGTAGGTGAGGGAAGAGAGGAGGATACAACGGAGGAAAGATTATTATTACTTATTATTGGTTTATAATTATAATTCCACACACTAAATAGATTACTCATATGGTGTGCTTTTATTATTACTTATGTATTACACTGTAGAGCCAGTGTAGGCCAGGACATTATACGTCCACTATTTACTAAATGTTTATCAATGTTTTACATGTACCAGTCTCTAACGGAATTAAGGTATTATACAAGTACAGTATATTCCATATTTTGTTGAAAGCATGATTTTTTTATCTGATTGGCGGATTGCCACTATTAAAACCAAGCTAGCAGATTAATGAAGTAACTGTGGCAAAAGTATAGATCTTACTCAGGGTAGCGCCATATTTAATTTTTGACAGGAATGAAACCAGACTCATGTCGTTCCAAACTCGTAAGACCTTTGTTTATCTTCGGAACACAAATTAAGATATTTTTTGATGAAATCTGAGAGCTTTCTGGCCCTGCAACTACCATGTTCAAGGCCAGAAACGTAGTACGGATATTAAAATAGTGACATCAGTGGTTCGACCTTAATTTTATGAAGCTACGAGAATACTTTTTGTGCGCAAAGAAAGCAAAAATATGACTTTATTCAACAATTTCTTCTCTTCCGTGTCAGAATTCGACACGTGTTCATGACAGTACTACGACGCAAAATTCAATATGGTGTCTAACGTGATTAAGATCAACTGGGGAGATGCTAAGAAGAAAAAATGAGGAAAGCACCTGTAATGAGAGCTGTAGTTGAAAACTGTATGTAGGCGCGAGTTGCAAGTGTGATGGTTCAATGTTCTGCAGGCATCACAGCTTTGTTTTCTCTACAAATAAAGTCTGATTTGGCATTTCACTACATTTGTCACACAAACTCTCATGTCACACAAGTTCAGTTTCTGCATCTGTTGTTGAAAAAAGTGTTAATCGTGGAAATAAGTGTTGAAATAAAGTTATTATTTCTGGAACTCTGTGTTTTCGATATTATTTTGCAAAGAAGAAGAAACGACAAAACGTGATGGCCAGAGGTGTTGGTGAGTTTCTATGTCAATCCCAAGTATACTGACTTGTACTTTGACTCCTCCATGAGTGACATAATGGCTTGGAGAAGCTTGACAAAGGAGTCCAGTTTGTCTAAGTACATTTCCTTTTTCAGCTGAGCAACCACGGCAAGGTTTTGCTATCATGAGATTTTCATGTCAGCTCAAAAACTGACAGTTGGTGATATTTCCACACAGAGATGGGTGAATGGGCTTTTCAAGCATCACAAACCACATATAGGCCCACAGGATATGTTTGTAGCTCATGGCTGTTAAGGCACTGTTTCATAGCAGTAACTACATTTTTTAATTAGTACACTGTTTCCTGTTAAACCAATGTTAATTTACACCATTGTAGTGACTGTAAATCACTAAATAGTAGTGCTGTCAAACGATTAATCGCGATTAATCGCATCCAACATACGTTTTTGTTTACATAATATATGAGTGTGTACTGTGTATATTATGTGTATATAAATACAAACACATGCATGCATATATTTAAGAAAAATATGTTGTTTATATATTAATTAAATATATTTTTATATAATATAAAATATAATAATATAAATATAGAAATGTATATACATGTAAATATTTTCAAAATATATACTGAATGTGTGTATTTATATATACATAATAAATAAACACAGTACACACACACATATTATGTAAACAATAACTTTTATTTTGGATGCGATTAATTGCGATTAATCTTTTGACAGCACTACTAGCAATCAATCTGCAGCACTTTTACAATATTTCCCAGTGTAGCAAGAAATCTAGCCTACAGCAATCAGAGATTTTTTTTATTATTATCAGAGGTGGACAGTAACTAAGTATTAAATAAAAAATAAAGTTGATTATCTTCATTCAGTTGTTCCATTTATATAGGTTTGGTAACATAAAAGCTCTTAATTCCAAAGATAATACAAGCTAATCCGTGTATTCAGTAGGTTGCATTAGTGGCATAAGATATTGTAAGTATACAATGTGACAATAAAACAATGCATTTACTTTTTACTTTTGATACTTAAGTACTTTTAAAAGCATGTACTTTCGTACTTTTACTTAAGTAAAAGCCTGTCTTTACAACTTTCACTTGTAGTGGAGTAGTATTTGACCAGTAGTATCTGTACTTTCAGTCAAGTAATGCAGTTGTGTACTTTGTCCGCCTCTGATTATTATTATTATTTAAAACTGGAAGATAGATTTGGGATTTCAAATAATGTAAAACAAATATTTTTTTTAAATATATTTTTGTATTATTTTATTTTTTGTATTAAATTAAAATAAATAAAGAAGAAATAATATTCTGCATTTTTTTTCAGTTCAAACTTATGATACTGATCATGTGAACTTCTTTGTACAGACAGTGAGATGTTTTTGCATATAGTGAAGCACAAGATACTCTTTGGATCATTCTCAAATCATGCTGGAGAACATCGTCATCAGGTTGAGTTGAGTTAAAACCAAGTGTGACGCTGAATACCAAGACATTCTGAAAAATTAATGCTCATTTTCCAGTTAAAATTTGCACTTTGCACTCAATTTGTTTTGCTGATCATATGATCTGTTCTGAAAAAAAAAATGCTGATTTAATTAATATAATGTAAAACGGAAGATTTTTTTCACAGATGTTGGGACCCCTCAGTACCCCCTAACTTTCTGTAATATCAAATTATTTAGGCTATGTTGTCTAAAACTCTGCTTCTTTTATTCAGTGCAAGTGCAACTTGTGAAGAAAATCCTTCTTTTTCAAAAGAATCTCGTCTAGAAGCCAAGTCAGACTTTATTGGTTAAAACAACAAAACTGAGATTCCTGCAGATCATCTAACAAACACACTTCCAAATCTCTTTTCAACCTGTATAAACAATGTGCAGTTGGGTGCTTCACTTAAATCATTGTACTACTTGGTGACTGGTGCAGTAAAGTTGCTGAAGTGAAACATGCAGTAGGCTATAAATCATAGAGGCCTGAAGACTAAATGAGATAAATTTCCTGATTTCATTCATACTGTTTCCAGGCTTTTCTACATAATAAAATATACTATACTGTACCATACGGATTAAAACGTTATTCGTTTAAGTTCAAATGTTTCATGTTCATGTAACGAATGTACCTCTCACGCTTGGTTTAACTGCTGCCGCCTGTGCGTTGAAGCCCCGCCCTCTTTTCAATTGTAGCCCCCCCGATTGGCTAGACGTGCTGCCACCGACATACTTCGACTGGCAGTCTGAAATAACCTTTCGGAAAATAAGCAGAGGCGTTAAAGGATGTCTCTCTACTCTCTACTACAATACTTCATCCGCTTCCAGACTGTTTGGGTTATACTTTGGGGGTATTTCAGTTGTCATGGATTGGTGCGGTCGGATAGGAATCTCAGTGCGTGAGGTGAGTGTTCCTGCATAAACAAAAGTTGTTTTAGGGATGATTAGTAAAACATAAACGAGATGAAAGTTGACAACTGTATTTGGCACGGGTTTAAAGTTTGTCGTTGGAGTACCACGTTTCAGTAACAGCTGTGTACTATGTTAAAAACACAGTTTTTACATTGTTTACATAGTTTATTCAAATGTATGTTGAATTACGATATCTCGTGCTCGGGAGGCTTTGTCGCTTTGGTTTTACCACAGTATATAGAAGTGTGTTATAGACATATTTAGCTAAGGTTAATGTTGACGGAAGTTAACCAAAATACTCGAAACGTCCCCCAAATGGTCTCCTTTCTTAACGCAGATTTGCATTAGTGAATTTGCGTGTTCGCTTCGCGCACACAATAGGGTATTGTCCTCAATTTATCATCGTGTAATAACGATGTGTGCGTCACGCTGTATAATGTTAATGTATACTTTTGATAACTGTTAAGAAGTTTTGGTTTTTAACAGACATGACGCTTCTGTGTTGAAATGGCATCATAGGCACGTGCAGCATATTTGGGCATTTTGGGCGCGTTCCAAATGTCCCATGCGTCTATGATGCTGCTGACTAGGAAGGCAGGTCATTAGGTTTTGACACGCAGCCCACAGTATGCTGAAAGATGTTGGGGGTTGTTTCATCACTTTTATACCTCTGGGTCGCCTCATCTGGGGACTGGCTGTCTTCACCACTGATAAACCACTTAAATCCACCTTCACTGCCACTGTCACTGCCTAGTGTTGCCCTCCTGTGAGCATCATTATGCTCTCTTTGCTCATTAGGGAACATCACCGGAGGGAATGGGTACACCTCTCCTCTATGTGAACACCTTTAAAATGGTGTATAGATTGAGTTTTATAAAAATGTACAATTAATAAGCGTTTCATTTTATATAACTTTTTATATTTATAAAAATATAAAGATGTGTAAAGAAAACTTTAAGATATGTACAAATGTATATCAAAATGCATAATTGAAATACAATACCATATTGTTAATAGTAAAAGTCCAGTAAGAGTAGTTGATTGGAAAAAAAAAGATTAAACATATGTGAGTGTGTGTGTATAATAAATTATATACATATTATCTTTTTTAGTATTTTCCTCTGTCCTACCTGAATTCAAAATGCATGTGACAGTTGGAACATTTGTACGTATTCACACCTGATTAACTTGACCTGATTAACTGTATTTTGCCAAACTGCAAGATGCTCTTGCACGCAAAGGAAGTAAGGTGCACCCCCTGTTGTGAAGCAGAAAAGTGCCAGCTTTTTTCTTGTTGTGGTTACCGCTCACACATGTCTTCCTAAGGTTTGAAGGAACCTGTCACATGATATTTGTGGAAATAGAATAAAGAACTGTAAAGTCAGGCGACTGTGTTTTGACAAAACCACAGAAAGGAAGGTATTGCCAAGTAGATAAATAAACCACAGAGGTGAAGCTGAGTGACTGTTTGTATTAATATTTCATTCAAATGATTGTACAGCATTGATAACTCTAATAACCTTAACATATACACTCAAGAACTGTTTTGTTCCTATTTTCTTGTATAGCTCTGATTTAGCTGGGTCAAGCCAGAGTCGGGAGTCCAAGATGAGCAGTAAGCAGGGACGGAGCTGCATCGACCCTCTAGTTCAAAGTAATATGGAAGGTGCCATGGGCACTGTAGCCCCCACGGGGCTCCCTAAAGCTGACAGCCTACCACACTATTCCCATGACAAAGCTTTGCCAATCAGCAGAGCTTATTTCCCATACACTCTTGGTGGACAAGACGCACTTGACTTTCCTTCTCCATGGGGCCCTTCAAAAACCTGCGTGAGAAATGGGCCGAGCCCGGGGATTCACTTATCGGCCACCGAGGGTTCAATTCCAGTTCCAACCGTTTACAGGCCTGATAAAGTGTCCTTCCCTGTAGATGCTGGTGGTGGACGCTGTGCTGTACAGCAAGAGTTGGCAGCCAAGCAAAGGTTGGCCTATTATGCTAGCAGTCCCAGACAGCACAGTCCCAGGGTGGCTGGAGTCATCTCTCCAGTGGCAGTTCCCAAGGGTCACACTGGAGGATCAGATGCAGAAAGCTGTGTTGGGTTGGCTATTCCAAAACCGGTATATGGTCATAGCTCCTGCTGTACTGAGCGTGGATGCACCGCAGGGCACTACGGTGTGGAACATGGACCACAAAGGATGTCCCCTCGCATATATGACGACGAATGGGCTGCTCATTTCAGCCGCCTGGCTTACCTGCATAAAAAGGGCCAGGAGGCATTTGCGCAACAGAGGGTTTTGCAGTTCGAGCATGGCACGGAGGGTATAAAAGATGGAAAGACTGAGATTTACCATGGTATTAGATCAAACGAACCCAGGAGGTCACTTTCTTTAATGCAACCAAGCTATACTTACAACACTGCACATCAATTTATTGGTTCCACACCAGAGTACTGCCAGCGTGCCCCAATTCCCCCACAGATATACAAGGGTCTTCCCCACACTTATGACCCAAGGACATTGGCACACCGTGGAGTTCCTTCAAAAGTATATCAGGACCATCCTCACATATCTAAATACACACCAATGCCTCCATGTCCCACTGTCTATTACCCTCAGAGTCACCATGAGGCTTACCAAGCCGATCCCAATGTTATTACAGATGAGCATGGTCAGCATCATCACATGGGTCAGTTCCATTCCCCTCAAGCTGACTTGATGTCACCGTCCTGCTCTGTTGTACCCCCACACCATCCGATAATCCCAAAATACCCTACTTATCATTCGTATAGGGTGCATTTTAATAGTAACCAAGCACCCATGCATGATAGGCCACACCCACCTTTCTCAGTGCATCAATCAGAGCGACCACTTGATTTCTCCATACGAAGGGTGCAGACACCTGACTCCCCTTGGGAGCTTTCCAAACAGTCTGGAACCACTGGGGCTTTCCATCCTTTACCGGCCCACTACAGACGTCTCAGTAACACCACTACCCTTGAATACTCAGAGATGTCTGAAACTGGCTTTCTTGTAGGCAGTTCCAAAGAATTTCCCACAAAGTCCCGTGAAGATGTACTTAAGATAAGGCATTGTGTTTCAGATCCACCTGAGAAAGATGTATTAGCTAAAAGGCCCAGAGAGGAACTTGAAACGGACATGGCCAGTAAAAGGCAAAAGATTGACTCAGCCCATGAGTTGTCAGATAATGAGCCTCAGTCACCGTCCTCCCCACCCATGCCAGTTATTAATAAAGTTTTTAGCTTGGCTCCTTATAAAGTTTATTTCGAAGCTACAGGCATGTTGTCTTCACGAGGGAATTCAAAAAGTTCAAAGCCACAGCCTGAGGCGACATTGCTTAAACAAGAGCCGGAAATTCAAAACTGTGATCTAGAACCAAATTCAGGTGAAAGTGACCTCAGCTTGAAACAAGACACCCAAATGTCACCAGCTAACAGTGACGGTCCAGTTGAAATGCCAGAGATTGTAAAGATCAAAAAAGAAAAATTGGATCCAGATGAAGCGGCTTGTCAGTCGGAAATGAAACTAAGCATTGCTGAGGAGATGAATCATCAGGCGGACAGTTCTGAGGTCAAAGAAGAGCAAGGGGAGCCAGACACGAGTACATCTGACTCTCTTCCTTGTCATGTTGTAGTAAAGAGTGACTTTGAAGAAGAAAGCAATCCTTTCTTAGTAGAAAAGTCTGAATCTTTAGCCACATGCAAGTCTGAGATTGCTGTGAAAGACAACATGGACTACTTTCCAGTTCCTACGTTGCCCTCAACACCTCCATTGCCTCCTCCGTTGACTAAATTCTCCCTCACTAAAATCCCACCTCATTGCCTGAAATTGGCCAATTTTAAAATAGTCATCCCTGAGGTCCTGAAAGCTCCAGTAACCCAACCTGTTGAGGTTCCTCAGTCTCCACTGGAGGCCAAGCCAATTATAAGTAGCAGCAAACATGCCCGTCATCAGTTTATGGAGCTTCATCAGTCTCTCTGTAGACTCCTATACTGCTGCGTTAATCGAACCCCATGTCAGGAGCTCAGGGACTGGTTATGCAGACTGGACCTTCGAGAATCAGGCAAAGATCAGAAGGTGTCTTGTCTCTTGGGCTCGAAAATGAGGGAAGTATGGCTAAAAGGTGATGAGATGGAGGTGGCTCTTAAAAAGGTGGTCTTCCAACTTCAAAAGTATGTTGAAAGCCGCGAATGTCCCTTTCCTCATGTCATGAGGGCCGGTGCGGTGTTCGTTCCCATGTTGGTGGTCAAAGAGGTGCTGTTTCCTCAGGTTCAAGGCGCATTCATAGACCAGGTCCTGCAGGAGCATCGGGTGGAGCTCAGGCCCACCACCCTCACAGAGGAGAGGCAGCTGATTCAGCTCCACAGAAAGGCCTTCTCTTCCAAACTAAGAAGACTTCTGTCCCTTAAACATCTTCCAGATATATACCCTGATGTCCTTAACCTTCTCTACCATGCCAATGTCTGCAAGTTCCTTGGTGAGTGCTGGATGATTGATTATTATTAGCATAGTACTCGATAAGTGTTGAACTGCTGTGTGAAAATTTTAACTTGATATTTGTATTGTATCAGTTAATGGCCGATATCAGAGATTTTTTTTAATTTAATGTATTAGTCGATATCATGATATTGAATTAGATAATTAAATGGAAAAAACTAGTTCCCGTTTTTACATTTAGATTATCTTTGTCACTAACTAACATTAACCTGAAGTTAATCAATCAAATGTAATCACACTGTTAAATGTACTCTCTAGGAATTTTTCATATTGTAAATTATACTGTTGTGGTGGTAAATTCTCCTGTAGCGTTTAAAATAATTGATTTTAGTTTTTAAAATAGTTTAAATATAGACAAAATAGTACAGAATGGTAATATCAACCATGTATCAGTTGTTGGCCATAACTTGAAAAATTATGTGAAATATTATTTAGTATCTAGTAGTAGTATTTTTATATTGTTGCATTCTTAAAACATTTTGGCACCCCTAATACAATTTAGTTATTAAATAATTTCTTATTTTTGGGCTTGACGTACTATGGTGATGATGGTACTTTTATCTTTGTTGCTTGAAACATTACTGTGGCATATTCATTTCAAGAAAACACTCATAAGTGTCAGACTTGTGGTTCCATTTTTTTGTAAGTGGTTTCTTTTAAAATAAGCAGTCACAAGGACAGAAGACATTTTACAAGCTTATTATTTTCCATGTTCAGTGCATTTGGGGTTAAATAGCATAATAACTTTCATAGTACTTAGAAGGATGAATGTGCATACTGAAACTTTGTGTTATAATTTTAGTAATCTTAATTTTCTAAAGTAAGCAGAACTATTGTGTTATCTGTTGGATTTTAGTACAACATGGATATTGTACAACATATTCTGGCTGAGATCTTATTCTTTAGATAGAAAACTTAATGTTATACAGTCCCTAATATTAAGGTTTAGTCTTAGATCCCAAAAAGAATTGTGTATGTGTAGCCTATATATATATATGTTAAAAGTTATAAATTTCATATTATTTAATATAAAAGCCTATTTGATTTTGGAAGGCCAGTTATTTTAATTATTTTGATATTGTATGTTTATTTGAATTACTTTTTCTATTAAGATCAGCCATACATACATGGTGCATACCTGTAGTCTTAATGTTCATGTTTTGGTTTGTTTTTTTTGTTTTTTTTGTTTTTCATACTTTTGTCATACTTTTTTTGATTTGATACACATTTGTTTTTGCAGATTCCACTGCTACAGATGGTGTCCAAAAAATGCCCAGGTACCTTCTTATTACCTTGTCCCCAAAACTCCTTCTCCAATCACAAATAGTTTTTGTTGACTGTTGTAGAGAGGGCTTTGTAAATCTTTGAGCTGCTCATGCAGTCACAGTTCCTTGTTGGTGCAGTTTTGTTGCAGGTGTGTTTCTGATCAGATATTGTCTGGAACGGAACAGTGATATGCTTTTGGATATATTTCAGTTTCAGACGCATACATTTCAGGGAAGGAAGTTAGTGTGCTTTTGGAGGTGTGCTAAGGCGGGTGGAGGATGGAAGGAGTTGCCATATGCTCTGGCGTTGCATTTCTCACCTGCAGTGCCATTTACAGTCCTCCAGATTTTGACAGCTGTCTGTCATCAGTTACGGCACTCAATTAGTTTTTTTTTTTTTTTTTAATCTTTTGAACATTTAACTTCGTTAACTCACACTTTGTTAAAGGTGCAGCAGATTTTTTTTCTTAAGACATCCTTATTATTTTATTTTTCTTTGTTTCCAGCTCTTTCTGCAGTGTTCTATCACTTTTTAAATAACTTCTGACACTTCTGAAAATTGCTCTATCGCCTATTATGTTTCATCAAAAGGTCTGTTGTTCTTATTGGCATGGTTAGGTAATATCTCTTCTATTATTAGTAACCAGTTCGATCACATTTTATTGATGCTACTGTCATGTTACCACACAAATGTTTCTAAAAGCATTTGGAGGTATCATAAGGTTGCGTTCACACTGGAAACAGGATCTTTAGACGCTTTTTTTTAAATTTCAACATTTTACTCTGTAACATTTTCAAAATTCAGACAGCAGCCAAAAATCTAATTAATTGACCCCAAAAAAATGACATTTATTTAATCATTTATTCAGGCTGTGATGTTTTATGAAACACAAAATGTATTATCCTGGCTGCCCTTTTCTGTTGAGCTCCAAAAAAAATAAAACAAAAAACGCCATGGTCCATGAAAGTGGTCTGAAGAGATTCAATATTTGCTATTATTTTTAAAAGCATGCCTTATGCTAGCATTGAAATTGTGATTGCATTGTTTGAGTAATTCTATTTTTGAGTGATTGTCTAATTTCATTAGACATTCATAAGATCATTAAGCTGAATAAATGATCATTCTATGCAATCTTTAAATATGCTATAGTTCACCCAGAAATTACAATTCTGTCATTTACGCACCTTTATGTCCTTCCAAACCTGTATGACTTTATTGCTTCTGTGGAACCAAAAAGATATTTTGAAGAATATTGGAATATTTAAAGATAATATATAATATTTATATTTATTTAGTGTATATGTTGAAGAAAGAAAGGCATATCGTTTTGGAATAACATGAGGCTGAGTAAATGATAACTTTTATGATAAACTTTGCCTATTCTGCTTTAGTCAACATTAATCCATTCTAAGTCTGGTTAATAATAATAACAAATTGTTCTTTAATTGTAATCTAGCTTTAATACTTATCGGTCAAGAAATGCTGATACTAAATTCCAATTCTCTTCTTTCTGCAGGAGTAGAAACCAGCTTAACGTTCAAGAGCGAGAACACGGACAGCTCCGATGAATCAGCCGGTCGTGTGAATGGCGCTGAAGAATTCTTCCTCGAGTCCTCCAGACCTCTCACACCAGAAACCACATGTGTGGACAAGCTGGAAAAACTATTTTGCCTGAAGAGAAAGAAAAAGAAAGAGAAAGGCAGAGTAAAGATTTCCTCCAAGAGGACATTTTTAGAGGAGACCAGTTCATCATCACAAGAGGATGAGTTCACTGAGGAACCGGCGAGGTGGAGCGTCGTCAGTTCCTTAGAGAGAGATGAATGGGAAGTGTCTCCTGTGACTTCCAATGACAGTGGACCACATGTGGAGGTAAAGATCGAAGATGAAACCCATGAAGAGCCTGAGAACTCTGCCTGGGGGCGACCTTTGACCTCTGATGACTTCTCTGATAGCACCGATGAAGAGACGGAAAGCACGTCATTGATGTCTTTTCAGAGCCGCAGATCCAGCTCAGCAGAATCTCAGGGCTTGTCCAAAGGGCCCTCCAGCATGGTCCTCAAGCTGAGGAAGGTCTTCTACAATAAGGGTCACGGGGGTAGAGTCACCCGCTACCAGAAGGTCACAGATTCTTTGGAAGCTCCGGCAAGGTTCAGATGCACAGACAGCGACCATTACAGAAAAAAGAAAAACAAATCATCCCAGCACAAAGGATGCCGCACGGACAGGGAGTTTTCCTTCAGTTCGTATTCTCAAAGCCATCCGTTCCTCTCCAAAAAACACAGACGCAGATGGGTCCTGCGCTCCGCCGTGCAGTCTGCCCGTCTGGTCATGGAGAACAGATATCCTGACCTGGTGGGAAAGAGGATTCGGCATTTGTATGAGGAAAATGACAAAACAGAAGTGTGGTACAGAGGAGTGGTGCTGCGCATCCATGAGCCACATACAGACCCACTGAAAACTGTGTTTGAAGTCAAATATGATAGTGAGCCCGAGTGGCAGTACTATCTTGAGCTGCTCTTAGACTATAAGAAAGGATGGTTGAAAGTGGAGGACTGATTATTGACTGTATTAATGTTTTAATTTTCACCTGAGAACTGAATTCATTCAAAAATGTGAATATGCTTTGAATTGATGAGCAGCGAAGCAGTCAAAAGTCTTGAATTATTCTTTGCAACCCAAAAACTTGACATAACATGATATTGTTGTATGTAAGCAGTGTATGTTCAGTTTCAACTCTCCTTTGTGTTTCTGGTGTCAATAATGTTTCAGTTGCTACTGTGAAGTTGTTGCCCTTTTTCTAACGCCGAGTTGTTGGCAAACATTTCCAACAGGTGACATGTCGGTAACCGTGTTTAAGCTTTCCATGTAATTGGATGGAAGGGAATGCTGTATAGCAAGATGTTTAATTGTTTACAGAATTATTTTACATTGGCTGCTGTCACGTGTTATATACCTGATTTTTAACACCTTTGGAAAAATTAAATCTATTTGGGTTGTTCAAATTCATCAGTGCCTTTTTTTATTAACGTACAGCACATACATTTAAGTTAAAAAAAGGTAATTGCAACTTATGCTACCATTCAGATGTACATTTTGATGTTTTTAAAAGAATTCTCAAGATGAAGGCTGCATTTATTTGATCAAATACAGTAAAAACTGTAATATTGTGAAATATTACAATTTTTAAAAACTTTCCTGTTTTAATATATTTAAAAATGTAATTAATTACTGATGGAAAAGCTGAATTTTCAGCAGCTTGAAAAGAAATCATGCGGATTTGTTGCTCAAAAACCTTTTTTTTTTAACTCTTGAGCTGCTTAATATTTTTGTGGAAACCATAATACATTTTTCCAGGATTTTTGAAATTTCAGAAGAACAAAAACTATTTAAAAATATTTTGTAACATTATAAATGTTTTACTGTCACTTTTGCTCCATTTAATGTGTCCTTGCTGAAGAAAGGTATCCTTTAAAAAAAAAAAAAATGCTGCACTCAAACTTTGTATCTCAAATTTTGACTAAGCTCTGTTACCTTATTTTTTATAAAATAAGTGGAAGTGGAAGTGGAATGAGTGGTTTCCTTGTGAACTTATCAACTTCTGCAACAACAACAAAAAAAAGTTTAAAGTGCTACCCTTCATAAAAATTTAATAGTGATTTCTTCTACATCCCATTTGTCTTGTAGGTTTAATATTCAAAAGAAATTGCAAAATATACTCTTAAAGAGATAGTTCACCCAAAAATGAAAATTGTCATTTACACAAACTCATGTCGTTCCAAACCTGAACACAAAAGAAGATATTTTGAAAAACCAAACAGTTGTTGGTCCCCATTGACTTCCGTAGTAGGGGAAAACAATACTACGCAAGTAAATAGGGACCATCAACTGTTGCATAATTACCAGCATTCTTCAAAATATCTTCTTTTTTGTTCAACATAAGAAAAAAACTGATTTGAAACTGAAACCGGTTTGGAACGACATGAAGGTGAGTAAATGACAATTTTCATTTTAGGGTGAACTATCTCTTTAAGTCTGGTGGCAAATCTTGTTATCTTAAAGTGCCCCTATTATGGGTTATGAAAGGTTCATATTTTGGTTTTGGGAGTCGACAAAGTAGTCCGTGTGACATCAGTGGTTCAACTGTAAAGTTACGAAGCTACGAGAATACTTTTTCGCGCAAATAAAACAAAAATAACGACTTTATTCCACATTTTCGTCTCTACTGCATCACTTGTGGACGTGTGTTCACGACAGTATCGCGAGCGTGTGGCGGCGCCTTTTCTGGACCTTGAACGTGGTAGTTACCTTGCTGTCTATGGGAGGGTCAGAGAGCCCTCAGATTTAATCAAAACTATCTTAAATTGTGTTCCGAAGATGAACGAAGGTCTTACGGGTTTGGAACAACACGAGGGTGAGTAATCAATTACAGAATTTAAATTTTTGGGTGAACTAACCCTTTAAGGTTTTTGAGGAAAACATTCCAGTATTTTTCTCCATATAATATTTTGGTTTTGGGAGTCCCCAACAACAGGTTGACATGCATGCAAGGTTAAAAAACACTTTCATTGTCTTATAATATCCATTTATTTTTTCCTTTTTTGCTCAACGACTCTCAAACGGTTTGCTCAACGATTCATTTTTCCAAACCCCTCCTTTGCGTGATGCTAAACTGCAGTGATTGGTCTGATGATGACCCAGTCTGTTGTGATTGGGCTACTGCGTGCAGCGCATGTCAATAACGGAACGCCCATCACTATTACTTAGCCCACAGCTCGGTGGTAAACACCCAAACAGCCATGGTATATGCATTAGCCCAATGCAGAAACGTATTGATAAAGCACTGCAGTTTGTACACCAAAGTATTGAT